AAAAAAAAAAAAAAAAGCGAATTCAGACCATCACAAACATGTGACATATCTTCATAAGGATGAAGATTTAAACAACAAACTTTGCCTCCAACCCCGGCAAAGTTTGAGGGAGGGTATTAACAGCAACAAAATATATGGAGGAAAGCAATGAATCATTGAAGATCAAGATGATTATGATGATGTGCTTAATTTTAGGAATTGTCATTTATCTTTACATATTTGGTTTATTGAGTTGTACTATATATTGATGGTTTCTCAATGAGTAAATATACAATTCCAATTTTTATCGTTCTCTAAATTTTGAAGAAAATAAGGAAACGAAGCGAAAAAAAAAAAATTAAATTAAAGGCAGATTATAACATTATTGAATGATGACCAAATACCATAAACACTTAGTACACATTTGTTCCTATTTATAATAAAATAAAAATACCAACTCTCCACTATTTTGTGACTAATGTCTATCCAAAGAATAGATAACAAATATCAAATAATAATTTATTAACTTCTATCTTTTGATTTGAATTTGACAATTTTATCGCTCCAAAATTTTCTAGTCTCATCCTCATAATTTCTGTTGTGATTTATCATTATTGGTATTTATCTTAGGACCTCGTGGATGCAAATGATATGAACCCATTTGTCCCGACCAATACTTGCTTTCAAAACCAACTCTTTCAAGCCTCGTACATTCATCCTCTTACTATTATCTTCTCAGGTAAAATCATTTCATTTATTTATTCATTATTTTTATCTATTCATAATTTAAATTGTTCATAACACAGCGAATTAGAGATAATCATACAAATTAGAGAGCCTAAACGTGTTTTAAGCCTTATTCTCAATATATTAAGATATATAATCATACAAATTAGAGATACACAGCGAATTAACCGTTGTTATAAATAAATATATTCTACAAGCAAGAAATATTTTAAATTTTATTTACATTTTCCTTGCATAAAACCATTCTCAATTCCAATTCCAATTCCAAAACAGACATACGATACATAATAGGCTTCGATAATCGATGAAAGCACAAAAATCAACTATAATTACATAAACCAAATATTCAAGATCCATGAGAAATCCGACTCGCCATACCATCTGTTCCGGATCCCTGCATTTCTTCCCCGCCCGAAACCACGATACCCGGATAAGAACTCGGTATTGCAGCAGCAGCATTTCGGGTTGCATAATACACTGTTTGGTTTGCACTTTCAGGCATAACCCGTGTAGGCATTTCATATTGCATCACTCCAGCACCATAAACTCGATTGACACCAGGTACGGGTTGAGATTGAGGATACACGACTGGTATTTGACCCGGAGCAAGAGGGATTTGTTGAATATACTGAGTTCGGATTGGAACAGGTGGAAACGGATTACTTCCAGGTTGTGCAGTTCCCGGAACATAATACACAGCAGGTACATGTTGCACTGTTTGACCCGGATAGTGCCATGTTGGAGCACCCGCATATCCGGATTGTGGAGGACCCATTTTGTCAGTCACCACCTCAGCCACACCACCCTCAATTGCTTGACTTTCCTTGGGCTCAACTGCAGGAAGCGGGTTTGGGTTAACAGGCTTCGTTCTCACCGGCGGAAGATCCGGAATCCCAGGCGTACTAGGTGGTGCCAGAGATGATGAGGTGGAGCAAAACGGCGAAGGAACAACCGGAGCTGGTGAGCCCGGATCCGAAAACGATACATTGTCGTTCAGAAGGTTCTTGTTCCTTAATTTGGATTCTCTTATAGCATCATCCGAATTATCCAACCCAAATAAATAATCCGTAACTTCAGATACAATTGACGAGACCTCGGACTGCCCACGCTCCAGAACCGGACCCGAGCCTCCATTGAGAGCATCGAAAAACCAGTTTTGCCGCTTAGCGGAGCCGTCGAGGAGGGAGCTGATACTAGAGGCTCTCGAATCAGCATCCGTCGAGAAGAGGAAAAGCCTGAGACGAGCTGTTTTCTGATTCTGGCTGAGCCGATCATATTCCTCCATCATATTCTCTACATCCTCATCTGTAGTGACTGTAATCAGAGAATCCAGTTCTTCGCTTGGAAGCTGGTACTTTATGCATATATTGATTGTACCGGAGAGCTTGGAAAGTTTCAAGAGGAAAGAGGAGAAGGTTATGTGACGGTGAACGGCGATGATTCGGGTGTCGCCGCCTACATAACGGAGCTGGTTGTCGTGCGGTCGGGGGAGGATTTTGCCGCCAAAGCTGCACATGAAGCGAATCAGCGGTTGCTGCACGGCGGAGACGTCATCATGTAGGTGGTGCTGCTCCGACCTAGGCGTGGAGGAGACTGAATCCAACTCAGTTGCCGGGTGAATCGACGCCATTAATTCTGCAAACAATTTCAAATACAAGAAAAAGAAGTTAAGCCCATATACTCAAATCAATATATACACACATGAATATAGAGAATTGTGTATCACACATATACAGAGAAGTGGGTGTGATGGAGAGGATGAGGAGGATCCACTGTTAGCGTACGAAATTGTAAAGAATGTCAGAATATTTAAGAAGATTTGGCTGTGATATAGGTGGCGTCACAAACATGTACTAATACAAAATTCTTACATCATGCAGTTGTTTTTTTCTTAAAAAGGTAATTAAAGTTTTACCTTTTTTATTGTCCAATTAATTAAATATTAATTGATTTAATTTTGCATCTTCAATAATTGAGTTGGATTGTCATCACCTTGTTAACCATAAATTTTATGGCTTAACGCAAATCTATTGTACCTAAGACATGTTTGATGCATATAATTGAAGCAACGTTTGAGTTACATTATTTTTTCATTCACATTTTTCTACTTATTTTCAATCATATAATTTTTAATAAAATAATATTTTCTATCACATCAATAACATTTTCTTCCCTTTCAACCACATATTCTCTATCACATAAAAAAATACATTCTTGGGGAAAAAAATGTGCACCAAGTAGGGGCTGAGTGCATAATGTATTTTAAATAATGATTTGATTAGAAATATTTAATTGAAAAATGTATGAATGAAAATAAATTTTAAAAAATGAATTTTTGTAAGAACGTGGGATAGGCGAGACGAGGTGCTAATCAATCATCACAATCAAGTATTTATATTCAAATTTTCCTTATATTGCAACTTGCGGCTCTGACCTAGGCCAGACGAAAGTAGGTTTTGTTAGTGGTCGGCAACAACATCTTTTGGATATTCATTTTTAATTAATTAAAACCATAAGAAAAATGACATGCAGCCAGTAAGAAGTATGCAGTCTACGTCGGTCCAATTGCAGAAAATAATTGGCGTGGCCACCTTCTTCAATTATCATTTACAATTAAGGTCCGGAAAAGGAAATTATTTTTGGCACCGTCCATATGACTTTAATAATGTTATGGATCGCTACTGGATTGCAATCACATTCTAAATTATGAAATAAAATGAGTCATTTAATTTCACTTATTATTTAATGTCTGTCATATAAATTAGGGTTGCAACCCCCAATGAGATTATATAACATTTTCTTTTATAATTAGTTCTAAATTTTTAAATTTTGAAAATTGGATGGGGTATTGAACCTAAAAAAAGTCAAGGGTCAAAGAATCAAATTATTGAACCGCTTGATTTGAGATTCGCTCGGAATTGACCTATCTTCGTACCCTAGGCTTGGGGAACCAGAAATTGCAGTTGGGCGGTCGTTGTGGGACCAAGGAAAGTAAGAGTCGAGCTCTCAGCTTGAGCAGGGCCACAAGAGTCCCAATTATCTTTTGTCTCCAAGGAAAAAAAAAAGTGTAGCCCCACTTCCAATCCCAATTGCAACCGATCGAAGTTTCGAGTTGTGACAAATAAAAGCAAAAATGCGTAAAGTTCAAATGGGTTTGAAATTTTCACGTGCCAAAAATTGACTAATATCAATTAGTTTGTTTGCTTTCATGATTTTCAGATTTCGTGCTTTAAAACGAAATTGTAATTGGAACTTGAGGATCACGTTAAGAGACTCGTTAAGGATTAAATATTGAATTCCATATGTGTTGGAGTTGGAATTTAACAGTGATACTTGAGGTTTTAGTTAACGTTTCTAATTGGGTGACAATTTAATGAAATTTTAAAGTGTAAATTGCGGCCATCATCCCAACCTTTACCCTATTCTGCGCTTTTATCGTCAACAGTTATCTCTTTACATTCATATCCTCAACTTTTCATAAATTAGCGGCTATCGTCCCTAATAACATTTTTTGTTTTTGTTTTTTTAACGTGGCTTGAAATGTCAAGTTTGCCCTTGACTTTATATAAACTTAAAAATAAATACAAATTCGGACAAAAACTATTATCAAGGACGATGGCTACTAATTGTGAAAGTACAAAAGAGAGTAAAATGTCAAGAAATAAAGGTTAAGGATAAAAGTGAAAAGAGAGTAAAGGTTGATGACGATTGTCACGATTTACTCTGTTTTTAACAAACTTCGCTGAAATTAAGCCATCTATACTTATAAAAGATAAAGATTCGTGACTCATTGCGTCTATCAGATTGAATAGGACGAAAAACACTTTGTCATTCTCTTCTTCCATACACAAATCTGTCGTATCCATTTACTGTTAGTCAAAAGGTAATTTCTAATTATTTTTTGTTATGATTCCCAGTTAGCCCTTCTTGTTTCCTGCGAACGGAACAAAGGGTTTAGTGTAAAAATTTGACCTTTTTATGCATAAGGAATTATGCATTGTACTATCATATTCCTAGGTTTTGTTCAATGAAACCAGTTGATTGTCTTTTAATAAGATTCTTCGGTTGTTTACAATATTTTTTCTTCTCTTGTCGGATTCTGTTAGAGGAGGAGTAACCATGACTAGTGTTGATTCAAACGGCTTCCCAAGTACTCCAACCAGGCTCGAGGTTTGAGCGATACAACATGTTTGGTTGTGCTTAAAAGCTACAACATGCTCTTGTATTACGTCTAATCTTTCCTTTTTGAATCAAACATCAGGGAAAAGGAAAGGCGACCGTCGTTTGCTGGTTTCTTGGACTTGGATCGCTTATGGCATGGAATAGTATAATGACAATAGCAGATTACTACTATGCATTATTTCCTGTAAGCATCTTAGTTCTTTAGTTAATCAACCCTGGAATTTTTCAAGTTCTTGTTTGGTTGAGAGTCACAATAGTACAATGCACGATAAAATTGGACGTTTTTGTTGACACTTGCAGTAATGGACTGCAGTATTGCGTTGTTCTTGCATTCCTTTGATTATCCTGATACTGTTTTCTACTTTTGCAGCTTTACCATCCTTCGAGGGTACTTACCCTCGTTTATCAACCATTTGCAGTTGGAACAATGCTGATACTTGCTTACAATGAGGCAAAGATTAACACTAGAATGCGCAACATCTTCGGATACATTCTATTTTCCCTTGGTACTTTAGGACTTATAGTTGTAAGTTCTGCTATTAATCAGTTTGTACGACCCTTTTAATGATTTTTTTTTTGTTTTTGTTTTTAAACCACATTGATGTAATCAAATTTGTATGGTTCCAGTTGGATCTAGCCACAGGAGGTAAAGGAGGAATCGGAAATTATATAGGCATATGCATTTTTGTTGCTGCTTTTGGAGTTGCAGATGCTCATGTTCAAGGTGGACTTGTTGGTGATTTGTCATTCATGTGTCCCGAGTTCATCCAAGTAAGATTTGTAGCTAAAGCATGTTTGGCTCTTCTTCAATTACTTTTCTAGAAAGTAATCAAGTTGGACCACCATTGTGCTCGTCTGTTCTTGCAGTCGATGTTTGCTGGTTTGGCTGCATCGGGGGCTCTTACTTCTGGCTTGAGGCTGATGACAAAAGCTATTTTTGACAAATCCAATCACGGTCTTCGTAAAGGAGTCGGTCAGTATTCGAAAATATCATAAATATCAAACTTCCCATTGATCTCCCTAAATAATCAGATTCGTTGAATGTTTCTGGTTAAACATTCAAATGATGGAAATTATGGATTTTAATTGTGGGTAGCTAGTCTTTTAGCATATTTTCAATCATGCTACACGTACAAATTTTGTTCACAGATAACACATGGCAAAACATCATTGAAAGATTGGCGCCCTTTAGGACTTTCCATGTACTTAGGGAATAATCCGCATATTTTTGGAACATCTAAATAGTACACTGAGATTATAGGTTTCTTTATCTTGTTCAATACTGTCCAATAATGTTCAATCCTAATTATGGAAATGAGATCATTGTTATTTGGATTCAGACACAATAGTGTTCTTTATTATGGTTTTGCAGTGTTATTTCTCGCCATCTCGACAGCCGTTGAATTTCTATGTATATTCCTATACGCGTTTGTCTTTAGCAAACTCCCAATCGTGAAGTACTAACGGGCAAAGGCTGCATCAGAAGGATCGAAAACAGTATCATCCGACCTTGCTGCTGCTGGCATCCTGACTACAGAAAGCGAAAGCGTAAATTAAGTCAATAGACATTTAATTCTCAAAAAAATATTATTTCAACATTTAAGAAATGCATTTTGCTGTCACTGCAGGTTGTTGATGCTAAAGACGATAGACTGAGCAACAAACAATTGTTATCACAGAATGTTGATTATGCATTAGACCTCTACTTGATATATGTTCTCACATTATCAATTTTTCCAGGATTCTTGTACGAAAACACTGGATCCCACCATCTAGGCTCTTGGTAAGTGCTCATATGATTAATTTCTTGGTTTAATCAATTTTTCTTTGAGGAAAAATTGCTTGTATCAGTTCTCTTTCCTATTCAAATTCTTTTTTGTCGTCAATAATGTCCCATGCTATTGAACCCTCTCTACCAAACATGATGTTATTGCTTACATTACCAAGTTTGCTAGTGCCTAGAGACATTAGTCTTATCCATGAAATTCAAAGCGGCAGATGAAAAACCAGACATTATAAGTATTTTGGCTACTAAGAATCATATATTCTGTCAATTCAGGTATTCAATTGTCCTAATAGCAGTGTACAACGTGTGGGATCTTGTATCGAGATACATTCCCCTTATTGAATGCATCAAGATAGAATCCCGAAAGGGCCTTTTGATTGCATGTCTATCGCGTTTCTTGCTTGTCCCAGCCTTCTACTTCACTGCAAAATATGCCGATCAAGGATGGATGATATTTCTCGTATCCTTCTTGGGACTAACTAACGGCTACCTCACTGTATGCGTACTCACAGCTGCTCCCAAAGGATACAAAGTAAGTCGATACCAAAACCTCATAACATACCATATATTCGTTATAATTTCTTTGTATGGCCTAATATGCAAATGGAAACTGTATATGTAGGCACCAGAGCAGAATGCATTGGGTAATTTGATGGTCGTTTTTCTTCTTGGAGGCATTTTTACGGGCGTTGCTCTTGATTGGTTGTGGCTTATTGGTAACGGAAAGTTTTGAGGAGACGATGTTTATACTTGCTGAAAGCACTCAGCGGACAAACTGTGTTCAATTATTTGGCTAGCAGTAGAAATTTCCATGCATCGACTATATTATTAATTTGTAATATATTCAGTATTCGTAAATTCCCATGCATTAACTTCAAATTTAATTTCTCAAGAATTAAAAATAAAATGAAAATAAGTTGTTTCGACTGAATATTGAGCAGTCGAATACTTGTTGAATGGTATGCCTTTAAACTTGGTACAATCCATCCCAACACACATGTTTGATTAGAGTAATTACTAGGTACACGGTTTCGGATAATCAGGCAGTTAGGTTCCAATATTCACGGGTTAATTCACCTTAGATAGGAATGAAAATGACAGTTATTTTGACAGTTATTAAAAAAAGCCAATGGTTGAAATATGTTAAACAAGTTCAGTCGCCATTTTATTTTCCTGCGACCCCTTTCTTCATATATTTCGAGAACGAGTATTGATATATAATCTATTCGTTATAGATATATCGATGAGTACACCTAGCAGAGAAGACAATTTCATCGCAGAAATTCGAACTTTCGACTTATCGTTAGAGAAGTGCCATTTTGGGGAATCCAATGTTGCTTGTTGCTATGAACTTCTTAAAACTACCTTGCTTTTCTTACACTTAAAAACTTTTCTTTACAAAATGCATCAAGGCATTCCTGGTTTGGTATCAGACATACTCTTCCTATTTGAAGCAGAAATGTATTTATGTTCCTATTTTATCGAAATTCATTTTTCGTTGCTCTATGCAGACTATTGTTACTTTCTCAGACGTTTCCTAGGTTATTTTGTTGAAAAAGATGATGCTGCAAATTTCTAGATTATTTTTTTGTAAACAAATAATTCCCAAGCCATTAGGAGTTCAATGCAGGAACTTGCACAAGAAATCCATCGATGTGACATGGGAAAAACCAGATATCGGGTGGACAAAGTTAAACTACGACGGATCCTGCAAATGCAAGACGGGAAAATCAAGCATCGGAGGGATTTTCAGGAACCATAACGCTGAATTCTTACTCGGATATGCCGAATCAATTGGGAATTCCAACAGCATGATTGCAGAATTTGCTGCTCTTCGAAGAGGCCTCGAGTTAGTACTCGAGAATGGTTGGAACGACATATTGCTTGAAGGAGACTCCAAGAGTCTAGTTGACATAATTGCACGAAAAAAACCAGTAAAATGCGTAGAAGTGCAGAAGCATGTTACGCATATAAATTCGATGATGCCAGAAATTCGAAACTGTATTTTAACACATATTTATAGAGAAGGCAATAGGGCTGCCAATAAATTTGCACAAATGGGACACAATTTGAAGAACCCTCAAATTTGGCGGGACATTCCTCGAAATGAAGTTCTTCGATGTATTGTGCTTCAAGATGCTCGAGGCAAAACGTTTCTTCGAAGAAGATAAACTAAATTATACATAATTTTCATTCTTTGTTGTAAGAAATGAACACAAATGTAAAATCTCAAACACAGGAACTAGGAAGAGTTCGAAATATTTGGCCAAACAGCACAAATAGACACAACAACATTGTAAACCGCATTCTAAATACTTGATTTTAGTATACATTGTTGATGTCCTCGAGCAAACAGATCATACTAATGTTTTCAATTTCAGACATCATGGAATTATATACCTTAGCCTATTTATCTGCTAATCATGATACGGTTCAAGAATTGCTAACTACATTACTACCAAATCAACCCTGTCGAATACAATCTGATAAATTAAAGTATCAGACGAAGAAAAAACCTGCAGTTTACAGAATTTATTGAAAACGAGTAGGTCGAATCTGTACATGTGGAGTCGATCGAGTTGTCAATGTTTATCTGTATACGTTGTACGCATAGTGATGAACAAATCTGATACTTGTACGCACAAAGTAGTGTATTATATATATGTTTCAAGTGGCAAATTGAAACTGAAGCATCTAATCTAATACAGTAAAAGATTCCTTATTTATCGCTATAACTTCCTCTTTCTCTCTCAATAGAAACACACAAATTTGAAACCCTACAAAGTACAAACCCCAGTCCTTTCTCGTTTTCACAAAAAAATTCATAAAAAAATCTGGAAAATTGAATTAATTGCTAACTTTTTTCAATGCCGGAAAAAGATTTGCCACCGGATCATTTGCGGTGCAAGAGGACCGACGGCCGTCAATGGCGGTGTAGCAGGCGAGCGTTGGACGGGTTAACGCTATGTGAAATTCACCATCTTCAAGGCCGTCACCGCCAGAAGAAACAGAAGGTGCCAGACTCGCTTAAAATCGAGAGGAGTTATTCAAAGCAGAGGAAAAATGGTGAAAAAGGGGGTGTTTCGAAATTGACTAAAATGCAACAGACGGTGGAGAAGAGAAAGCGGTGTCAATCGGAGGCGCTGGATGAGGCTTTGAAGCGGATGAAATTGAGGAAAGGCGACTTGCAGTTGGAACTGATCAGAGTGTTCTTGAAGAGGCAAGTGGAGAAGAAGAAGGAGAGATCATTAGAGGAATCTGCAATTGGTGAAACGATGAGAGTGTTGCCTAATGGAGTCATGGCTATTTCGCGTTCGCCTTTGAACTTGCAGGAATTTAGCAATCAAAATGATGTTCTGGATGTGAAATTGGGGGTGGATTTGAAATTGAGCTTGTTTTCACAGAGGAATTTCCGATCAAAAAATATTGAACCACTTCCAATTGGTACAATGCAGGTTGTTATCACTTTCCATCAAGTGAATTTGAATTGCTTATCTAATTTTTAACCGTGAGGAAACGATATAATGTAGGTTCTCCTTTGTGTGAGAAAATATGAATTTGGTTTTGGAATTTGGGTTTCTTGAACTGTTATCTATTCAAGGAATTGATATTAATGTTTCGGTTTCACCACTAGGTTGTCCCATTCGCAGGGAGTGTTAAGAAAAGAAAAATAAAGAGATGCCATTGGTGCAGAGCAAATAATAAACTGAGTATGATCAAGTGTTTGAGTTGCAGGAAACGGTTCTTTTGTGCAGATTGTCTTAAAGAGAGGTTTGATATTCTTATATACTCAGATTTTTGAATAATTTTAACTGTGCTGCTGGAAAAATAGATTGCATATGGTTCCCCTTTTGATTCTCGAATGAAAATTTCTTTCTTTGTTGCTATCATGCTAGTTTCTTTATGCGGTTTTCAACCTTTATTAAAGTAATTCTATTAAAATGCCGGCTAATGTTCCCAGATGAAGTCGGGCAATTCTTTTTTGGTGGAGTCATTTTTGTGATGCATGATTGGTTAAGAATTTGATTGAAACATTTGCTGATGTGATTATATTTGCAAGCTGTTTGTTAGTAAGGAGTGGACAAAATTATGCCACAAAACTGAAAATGGATATTAATGTAATAAATACTACTACCTATTGATACATTTTTTTGTTTCATGTTTGGGAGTTGTTTATAATTGATTTCAACTATAAATAGGTAGAAGTGAGTGGTGGATAAGCAAATAGTACTTGTGGATCCCACAAAATGTTTGAATAAAAAGTTGTTTGACCAATTATACACATTAGCCAAACACGGGCTTAGGGCAACTCCAACCAATGCTCCTGCAACCCAACTTCAAATCTTGACGCCAAATTGGTGTAATAAACAGTGTTGCATCAAATTTGGAGTAACATTGTTCATTTGGTGTAATTTATAGAGTTTTTCTTTTTTTCCATTTTGTCCTAATATTATACTACAACAAATTTCAATTCATATTATATCCTTTTATTACTTAATGATTTAATTTAGATTTATATTTGTATTGATTTGATTATTATTTTTATTAACATTTATAATAAATTATAATCAAATAATAAATAATAACTATTAATAAAGGCAATATTGTATTTAATTAAATGTAATTTTAGTAGTAATATAATTTGTAATTAAATTTTAAAATAAAATAATTGTTGTGAATTACAAAAGGAAATAAAGCAGACACTGTTCATTGGGTGTAATGGGTTGGAAATACTAAATGAGATGGTGTAAAAGTTGCATCATTTTGGTGTGAAAGTTGCACCATTTTAGTGAAATGGGGTTGGAGATGGCCTTAGAAATTTTCACTGTATAACTTTATAATTTTTCATTTCAATAGGAATGTATAAAGGGAAAAATGTGAGTTTCAGTGACATTAATTGACCCCACTGGGATCAATCTAGCTCCGCACATGTCTATGTACTAGATAAAGATACTGTTATGAACCTTGTGTAAATTGTCATATAATTAGTAACCTCCATTTTATCCGTTCTTATTTGTAGCATATGGCAAGCAAAGTTCTATTTTTAATCCTGTAACAAAGAATTTATTGGTGTTATTTTGTGCTGAGCAATGAAGCTTCTTGCATGCCTGGAAATTAAGAAGGGAGGCAACAAAGTCCTTTGTAATACCATTTCATATTTAAATCATTATACTATAGTAATAGCAGGATTAACCAAGGTTGAAAATGGTACAAAAGAAGGAAGAACTAATTAGAGAACTTTTGAATATAATCTTTGCAGCAGAAGAAAAAGAAAGAAAAAAAAAGGAAAGAAAGAAAGAAAGAAAGAAAGGAAAGATCTGTCATGAATTAAGCCCTGTTTGACAACCATTATCCAAAAACTCTTTTTTATACATATTCATTATCAACCTTACACTCATACAATAAAATATTCTGCACGTAAACTCAAAAATTTTCCACACTTTTTAATCATACATTCTCCAAAATTCACTATTTAAAACTTTGTTTTTGTCAAATAATGGCGGGCCTAACTATGGAGTTTGGAACTTTTCTAAAATTTGTAGTAGTTGACCATTTTAGTTTTCTACACTACTCTTGTGCTTCTTAACTTAGGACGCTAAGTAGGTAGGTAGGTAGGTATATTCTGCTTGTATATTTAACTTTTACCGGTTCACCTGATATTTATAGAACTTGAATGTCATTTAGGTATTTTGAGAGGCAAGAAGTGAAGGAGAAATGTCCTGCCTGCCATGGAACTTGCACTTGTATGATCTGCAACAAACAGCAATCCAAGGCTGTTAATCACAAGGTTTGACATGAAAAATGCTGTCTTAATTTTCTTCATTTTGTTTTATAAGCATTGGATGTTGATGCATCTGTTTATTTATAATTCTTCTTCCAGGAATGTCCTAGAAGTAAAAGGAGGGTTGAAAGAAGTCACTTACTTTATTATCTGATCAATATACTTCTTCCAGTATTAAAACAAATTAACCATGATCAGAGTGCTGAGATGGAGATAGAAGCTCCTGTATCAGGTATTACCAACATCTTGCTCAGTCACTGCGTGGCAAATCTGTTTCCTTATTTGATGTCAAATCAGTAGAGTCTTAAAAATGTTACTTAACAGGCAATGAAGTCCAGATTCCACAGGCCAACTTAGGCTTCCAAAATTTACACTGCTGGTAATTTCCATATTGCCGCAATATTTGAATGTGAGACTAAGACCGTAAGTTGACTTTCTTTTAATATTGTTTTACATGGTGTATTGAAATATCGAGCAGCAACTGCAAAACTTCCATTGCGGATTACCACAGAAGCTGCACAAAGTGTTCCTATAATATTTGCTTAAGTTGTTTGGAGTTATGTCGAGGGAGCTTCTGTGGAGGATTTAAGCGTAAAAATTGCAAGAAAAAGAAAACGTGTCCATCCGATGATGAACTGCTGCTAAAGATAAACAATAACATTTCAAGACAAAGTTCTGGTGGGATGTACTCTTTGTCTCCCATGTCATTGCAAAAGTGGGAAGCTAATGCTGATGGCAGTATTTCTTGCCCATCCGTGGATATTGGAGGTTGTGGAAATAGCCTTCTTGATTTAAGATGTGTATTTCCCTCAACCTGGACCAGAGAGCTGGAATTTAGAGCTGAAAAAATATTATGCAGCTATCACTTTCCGGAGATTGCAGATGTTTCTTTGTTTTGCTCTCTCTGCAAGGGAATTGACCATAAAGCTGGTGTAGTTAAGACTCTGCGAGAAGGGTCTAGTAGAATGGGTTCTAATGACAACTATCTGTATTGTTCTACTCTACAGGGTCTTCATAAAGAAACTCTTGACCATTTTCAGAAGCACTGGGGTATGGGTCATCCTGTTATAGTTCAGAACGTTCTTAAGAGCACCTCAGGTTTGTGTTGGGATCCATTTACCATGTTCTGCTCTTATATTGAAAATAGGAGCTCCAAACCTTACAATGAGGATAGCGTGGAAGCAACAAACTGCTCAGATTGGTGTGAGGTCAGTGTCTTAGTATCTCTGTCTCTATTACAGTGATAAACTAATCAACTGTTGAAGCAATTCAGCAATATGTTACATCTTGGAAAGATGAAGAATATTGCGAATAGAATTCTAACTTTGAATAGATGTCTATTAAACACAGACATTAAACACATGATGCCAAGTACATTCAGAGATAGGA